GGTGTTCCTTTACTTGTTTTGAGTAGTATATATCAATTTAGTATTACACAGCGACACATGTCCCAATTTCATACATATTGTTTTTATTACAATGGCTAAATCTAGAATTGGAATGAGAACACGGCAAGGGGACTATCGTCTCCCTTTCAGATTAAGATTATTAACACTCGTTACCTGATGTATGAATAGCAGTCCGGGCAACGATGGGAAGTATTGAAACTGACCCGGTCTGCATATGATTAAAAACGTTTTGATATACCTGTAGTTCGGAATGCAGTTATGCTGAAGGAGCTTACTGCTCTTGCTTGTCAAGTAATGCATAACCAAATGTATGCGACATTTCTGTATAAAGTTTAAAGAACAAGAGTTACTCGACAAGTATCAGTATAAGTAACATGTCCTTATGACTTAGCGCAGAAGGTGTTGTAGTTAAACACTGTGTCTCGTGGATTAATATTTTGTAACAAGTCACTGCGCTTGTCAACGCCGAGCAACGCACGATGTGACGAGGAATAAAGCTTGTATCACACAACTATTGTATCACGTATTGTATATATCTCAACGCAGCGTGAGGGAAAGCATCAGAGCGTCATCGCCTTCATAAAAGCGTATGTGTTAACACATCCACTCTCATGCGCTGGGACTCACTATAAATGCCCAGGTGCTCGGAAACGTGCAAAATTTTGAATAGATATCACACATAATTAATAACTAATAGCCTATTTTGTTGTTGTATGTTTATGAAATTGTAAATTCCTCCCGTCTTTTCGAGTATTAAGGGGATTATATTCGAACAAATATCTCTTTTTTAGTCTCGAGTTGACGCTACCCTCTCTTCACTAATATCTCAATCTTTCTCAGGGCAGAAACCGTCCCTCATTGATAGCTGTGAATAGCGAGGTCATTTAGTTCACCGGTGTGAACGTCGTCACAATGGACAACAAATAGACCCAATTTTTAATTACTGTATTCGTTGACTCTGCTAGTAGTATACCTTTGTCAGCCCTTTTGTACAGGTGAGACGATGTTCACATACAGCTCGCCTCATCTAGGACGTACGGCGTTCAGCGCTCCATACAGCGCCGCGGCGACACGCTCACATGCGTCCCTACAATGATACGCTGATGATGGCCGAGGACAACCTGATAAGCGATGTGTGGAGCTTGCTGAAGGCAGTCGTGCTGTATCGCAGCTGTGCGCGCTTGGTCTCAGACGCTCACTGGCCTCAACACGCGCTTCTTTAATTAATGAGCGACTGGAGAAAAAAATGAAATAGGGTAAATAGTGAAAAAACTTATTGCGGGAGGTCCGCAGTAGCGCAAATACTCGTGATGTTTTCTCCTATTGGTGGGTCTTTGTGGATGGGCACTTGCCTACCACTTCAGCACACCCTTGCCAACTCCTCGCAGCGCTGTTAGCACCGATAGGTTATTCTCGGCTTTGTTGCAGAGCGAAGTGTTTAGGGGAATCAGGAGCTTTGCCCATGTGTAAGACACACTTTGAGTTATAATGATGTCCTTTCTATACCAGTTACGGGACTGAGCCAGGGAGATGCTCTTGGCCCTAGTACGAACCTTATTACTCTGCACAGCTACCAGTTGTGTAGGATGTTAAACTTGAATACTTTGGTGAAATCCTGGAAGGTCTTAAAACTGATTGAAAGGGTTTATTCTAATTCCAATATTTCATAAAAGCAAACACCCGTACATTGACAAGAACACTTCACGAATATCATTATTTGGAATACCCGTTTACAAAAAGCCAGGTTACCGGTCCATCTGACCTGCGAGACAGCGGTGAGCGAGTGAGTGTTGTTTAACGCCGCTTTGACTAGCTTTCAAGATGTATCAGGTCGTTATGGAGTAAATCACAAAACGTCTGAGATCGTTGACGTCCTCCACTTTCGCAAACAACGGACACGAGTATTGAGCTGTCGGTCCAAGGATTATGATCGAGGTAAACCTAGCACTGGAACCCCCGACCAGCGGATACTGGTACGACAAAGGCGCGTTACTGTGCACAGTGAGCTGAACCTAAGACCTGTTTGCAATATGCGCCCTCAACCCAGAGCAGGAAGAACAATGGCATCAGTTCTGCCTGCCATGCACAAGTCGGACCGGAAGTATGCCTAGTAAAAACAGGAACTTCCGGTCTAGTTGATACCACAAGTTCCCTCTTATGCTCATGAGACAATCATTATCATCATAGAATTAATTTATTTACAAATTCGGAAACAATATTTCCCTCTTCTTAACATTTCCAATAATTTGATGAGTAAAACATATTAAAAAATCATAATTCGTCTGTAATGCATCCGGCTGCATAACTTGCATATGTTAAATAAAGGTGCACGTTAATGTTTATGTACGTTCGCGCGCGCGCGTGTTTGTTTGTGTCTGTGTGTTTTGTTTGTTTGTTTGTTGTTTAACGCCGCACTCAGCAATATTCTAGCTATATAACGGCGGTCTGTAAATAATCGAGTCTGGACCAGACAATCCAGGGATTGACATCATGAGCATCGATCCACGCATTTGGGATACGATGACATGCTTTAACCAAGTCAGCGAGCCTAAACACCCGATCCCGTCAGTCGCCTCCTACGACAAGCATAGTCGCCTTTTACGGCAAGGATGCGTTGTGAAGGTGTGAATGCAGTGTAACACAACACTAAAGCAAAACACGTAAACACGTTAATTGTATTTGTTAACAATTATTTTTACATTTTGAACTTGTTCTTGTTCAATTTATGTTTCTCTCCCTGATCGACTGACATCTGGCGTCCCCTGGCGTCCCCTGGCTCCCCGCCCCTCTTCCACCGGACTGTTCTAGCCGTAGTGTAATCTCCGTCACTCGTCACATTTAGAGTGCATGACACCGCTCCAAAACCACAACACAACTGACACCAGCTGATAATTATACCATAATTCGCCCATTAAAATTCGTAATATTCGACATATAATTAGTTAGTGGAAGGTTTATGTGCGATATTAGTCATTACAATAAGCTGTGATTTATAGACCATCTCGTTTTGCACAGTTTGATTGGCCATATTAATTGTTTTAGCTGAAATGGATGCAAAGCTTCGTCGCACCACTTGCACATCGTTCGTTGTCAAAGAACCTCGGCCCACTGTGGCAGTGAACGTAGGAGGTTGACTATTTGCCAGGATTTATAAAGATATTTCTTTGGTATCCTGTTGTGTTCTGTTGTTCTGTTTCTGGGCGAATCTTTCATTGATAAAACATGTTGTCATAGCAACAAAAACATGTCTGTATCTTCCGTCAAAATAACACAGTAAAATATAACGCTTAATCAATACAAAGGGTACACACACATAAGCACGCACGTAAAGCTTTAACAGCAAACATCGACAACAGACACGCTCAAGCAAAAGAGGAAAAACAACAAAGGCAAAACATAGCCCCAAAACAAACATATCGCAAGATAAAAAGCTCCCAATTAACCACTCGAAATGCACCCCCAAACAAACAAACAATAACAACAACAAAAACAAAAAAACTCCAAACAACAACAAACAAATCACACATTAAATAAATAATATTAACAAAATCAAACAAAAAAAACTCACAGTGTAAAGCAATACTAAAAGCAACCGTCGAAAAAGTAGTAATAAATAACGATATTAATAACATAATACATAAATAAAATACGCTAATAAATAAATCTAAACAAATGAAAAGAAAACAAATATTTTGACATATATCTCTGGTTTCTCCATTTTACAAAGGGATATACTTTCATGAATACGTTGATAATCATTATATCTAGATAACATCTGTAGAATAAAAAATATATACCTTTAACTCGTGTTTTTATAGTTGTGAAGTTTCTGTGAAATGTAGCAATTTCCTAACATAAATACATACCAAAATTATTACCCGAGATCCGATATTCTGGTTGAGACACAACCCTCGCATCCCGTGACGGACATTTATACCAGGGGTATAACACGATATTTATACCAAACATAAACTCTACAGATAGAGGGCAAAGTAGTTTAAACTACAGTGTAATGATAGCCTAATCCGTCACCCGAGATTTGTGGGGTGTCTCACGTTCAGAGAAATATCATAGTTTTCTTCTACTGAAGTTTGATGTTGTCGACCCAAGGCTTAGATGTGAGGTCCCGATAGTCCATAGGGGGTCGGGTTTCATTTCCGAGCTTGTATTTAGACGTATTATTCCTATCAAAATCTTGACTATCCATTTTTATGTTATATCGTTTTAAACCCGTAACTATAAAACTTAATGGAGCTTCAGTAAATGCTACTAAAGTGAGGAGATATATATCCGAGAGATTGTCCCGAGATGACCCCGGTCGGGGCTCAATCGGTTGCCAAACACGCCCAGTTTCATTCAGAATTGTCACATTCGAAAGCTACCATATATTTAGGCCACAGTCTGTTTTAAAGAGAGAATAAGCTTGTTTTAGTCCCTAATCCTTTGTATGACACGCCCAGTGATATGATCCGCCCGTGTGGAGTTATTTTGAAGGGGTATAAGTACGTTATTTGTACGTGACCCACGCAACGTTATTTCATACATAGAACGTAACGATCTTGTTTAGTTATCAATATGTTATCGCTCAAGCATGCTCATTTAATAAGGTAAATACATAATAATTAACAAATAATCTAAACATTATCAAACGAGACATCGTCTCAGTATTCAATCCATGTATCAAGATGGGTATTGTGTGGTCAAAATGGTGGTAATTGTGACCTTGGCGTTCATCATAATATCAACCACTGGTTGTCCAAGTCATGACTGAATTACGTGTGTCCATTCACATAGTGGTCACCGCTTAATACGCCCAATGTGTTTCGTTGGAAAATTGAGACTGGTTACTCTCTATCACTGACGTTGTGTATTGAAGATCGTGGGTACCTGTGTTATTGATGGCCGCGATACAGTGGCATCAACATGGACGTGATCCCGTCTCGCCACTACCGCATTCTAACAAGGATTTGTTGTTTCAGGGGCGCCGGAGTCTAACCTGCTGTTCCATCCCTACCGGAAGCCAAAGCGGATCCGAACTGCCTTCTCCCCGAGCCAGTTGCTGAAGCTGGAACAGGCGTTTGAGAAGAATCACTACGTCGTCGGTCAGGAGAGGAAGGAGCTAGCAGCCAAACTCAGCCTCACAGAAACACAGGTAGATCTACCTACATGACGCTAATACACTGTGTGAGTGGTGAGGTGCGTCCGTGAGTGAGTGAGTGCGTCCGTGAGTGAGTGAGTGTTTGGGTAAGTAGGTGGGTGAGTGAGTGGATGGGTGTTATGTGGGTTGGTGGGTGCTTGAGTGAAACACAGGTAGGCATACCTACCAACATGACGCTAATACACTGAGTGAGTGAGTAGGTTCGTCCGTGAGTGAGTGCGTCCGAGAGTGAGTGAGTGTTTGGGTAAGTAGGTGGATGAGTGAGTGGGTGCGTGAGTGAGTGAGTGCGTCCGTGAGTGTGTGAGTGAGTGTTTGGGTGTGTATGTGGGTTGGTGGGTGCTCGAGTGCTACACAGGTAGGCGTACCTACCTACACGATGCCTATAAACCTACTGAGTGAGTGAATGAGTGCGTGCGTGAGTGTGTGAGTGAGTGGGTAAGTAGGTGGGTGAGTAATTGAGTGGATGGGTTTGTATGTGGGTTGGTGGGTGAGTGAGTGAGAGTATTTAAACATCGCATTCAGTAATATTCCAACAATAATGAATTTCGATTATGTAGTTAAAGTGTTTTTGAAAGATTACACTCTTTTGCGTACAATATTTACCTTAAACTTTCATAATAATCGTGTTTAAGTTTAAAGGTGACTACAATCTATACACCGTTGAAAAGCGAATATTATAGTTCATTTAAATAAATAAAAAAATTAAGTACACCATGAAAAATCAACATCGAGTAAATGCATTTGGTAAAGTTTACCACGGTGGAGCGTACCTTCAAAGTGACATCCTAGATTCAAATACAGTACCATAACACCGCGGGTGGGAGCATTATGAATCATAATAGTATGAAATATTGCTACTCATGAAAACACATTTATGGAATCGATGAGCGAGAAAGTTTTAAATGATTTCCAAGTTTATTTAACCGTCCGTGAAAGTCTAGCGTTATTAGCTCAAAGAGAATGCCTGTTAGCGTGAGATCAATGGAGGATCGCTTCTCTGGTAATTCTCGCATATGAGATATAATGTGGTGATACTCGCTGCTGGATACATGCTTATGACGACAGATTAGTGCTAGAATTAAACAGTCTTTCCGACATAGCCCTCAAAATATTTGTTTTTGGCCCTCTTTTCCTGATTGGGTCGTGGGTTCAGTGTTACCCCCGCAAGGCAAACTGTAAAGCGAGCAGAAGCTTTTTATCACAACACGGCGATCGGAAATCAACCTCACGCTCGCTAGAAGAGCGCGTGATATTGTCCGTCATCTGTGACAACTTATTGAGCCTCCGACATTGGAGAGTTCTGCAGTTGAATACGACGGCCCTCCATCCATGGGTTAATGAAAATTCCGCTATAAAGTTGTGCCATTGATTCCTATGAGTAGCCATTGCAGATATAACGCACGTCCGAATTTTTCAGATTTCAGAAAGAAGGAAATTAGGTCTGGTATTTCTGTCGAATTAGGCTTAAATTATTTCGCCGTGTTGGGATTGGGGCAGATTATCTCATTTACACGACCAAACTGTAATTAGAAGTTTGCTTTACGTGCTCAAACGCATTTAGACAATAAAGACTGTTACAAAGGCGGCCTATCTAAGTGGATGTTACTCTGCTTAAGACCCAAGTCTTGAGACTCAAATCAACATCGGGAGGTCTGTAATTGACTCGATGAGGCGAAATTCAACCACGCCGTATTCTTTACTCCGGGGAGCGTATTTTGACGGCAGATGATGGGTCGATATCACGTGAAATGGAAAAATATTTTCCAAGTATTCTCCTGCTATTTGTTCAATCATATTTGTCCGTTGTAGGATGTTTGAAGCAGTCGACTCAGTGCGGAGTGATGAGGCCCCGTCTCTTGTATCCTTCCGCTAACTTAACGTCGTACCTCCTTGTTGAAAACCCCTTCAAAGATTTGTCAAATTATTATGTCAGTGATTCGCGTCACATTGAACTAAGGAGCTAGTTAGGCGGTATCTTCAACATAATGTTGGGCTAATGAAAATCAGTGTAATTGTCGCGGGGCTTGACAAGAATCGAACAAGTCGTATTTACAGCGGCAGTTTGATTAACCTGCACGATTCACCACGGAGTTATTGGCCCTTGGGTCAAGGTTAAGCCATCGGGATGCAGCCGCACGCCTACCTCCAATAGGGGCACAACTTTTGTGGTGTCTACATAATTTACATGCTATCAAATAACATTAACAAATGGTAATTGGCCCAATTGTGGTAGATGTTTATCTATATCGGCCTTCACTAGTGTGCCGCGATCATGCCGGGCACAAATGCTACAAGCAAGGTAGGATAGAGGCGGACATGGGGACATCTTGGTACTCACATATTAACACGTGTGCGATTAGCACTACTCTGGGGGGGAAAATGAGGTACATGACTTTGTATCAGAGGGGCTAATAACGCATGTTTTAGCGTTAACATATGCTGTAGGGTCAAGTCAAGGGTCGTCTCTAACTCGTACTTTATTGCCAGTGACTCCCTATTTGAAATATTGCTGATGCGACGATAAGACGCATGCCACTCACATTCACCAGCTACAATATTTCTGAGAAATATATTCTGCCAAATATATCTTGAAATGTTATCAAGTAGTTGGGTATTAGGTGTACATCTTATTTTGTGTATGTTTGTCATAAAAAATAAATGACGGCTACACTTACAGGCTTACGCTGTGTCTGCGAATTGGATTTCTTGTGTTCAATATCCTTTATAAACATAAATGCTTACTAAAATATTTATTTTTCTAAACAGGGCTTGAAACATGTGTTGTCGAAAGACGTTAATTCATTAAAGGAATTTACATATTTACGTACCCTACTAACAGATTGTGTGTCAGTTGTTTTTTTGAAAGATGAAATACGTCAAAAAGGCACTCAGTACACGTTGGCCAAGTCGTTTAATAGCAATAGTGTGCCTTACATCTTCTACCTGAGCGCGGTTATTAAAGGTGAAATTGTACCGTATATGCGGTACACTTTACACAGTGGGAGGAGGATCGGGCGGGGGAGATAGCCTCGCGATAAACACAGATAACCACCGGTAGGACTGGCATATGTCGGTGTAAAGCACGTGGTGGGTGTTTTATACCAAGCAATCTCTCGTTAGAAACTGATCCCATGTGGTAAATGCTGTCATTTCCTGGTCTTTGACCACTGACCACGGGTCATCCTCCTTTATATCTGTTCATTGGTTGCTTTATACGTTTATTAAACACGTGAACACAGGGAGATGGCGCTAGCTACCCGATACGGCTCTCGCTCATCTCCCCCATGATGCTGGGCACCATATATCATCGTCAAACCCCATCATGTCAGCTGTCCTGCCCCCGTATATCCACCCTTTTCACATCGCCAAGCAGTTTAGCACGTTTCTCATTCCAGCTTCAACACGCCTTCAGAGGAAGGATAGGCGACCTGATATCTAACAATCGACACCATTTAATTTCAAAACTAAGTTTTGTGTAGCTCTTCATCGTTGATAGCCCGCGCGTGCTCGCAATTAGGACCACATTAAACATGATAATTTGTTGGTAATGAGGAAAGCGGGATTAAAGTCCTTCCTGGGTTGGGGGGACACGTTTGGGACCTCTTCAGACGTGCTAGGGTAAAGACACTTCAGACCATATCAGGTGTTGTCCTCACAATTACCGTGTTCAACTTCAATACAGGTTTTATCTGAGTCTAATTTGTCCATATCGGCGATCAGCCCGCTTGTCCCGATGTTTGCTCTCCTCGGGGAAAGTGTTGCGAGATCCGGCCTCGCTATGGCCCCCGCCGATACAAGACACCCTTTCAAACCTATTTGTTCCGCGTATTTGTCAACACGTTGCTGAATAGCCCAGGATTGTTCCTTTTCTGTAGTTGACGACCATAAAGGCCCGAGTAACCGATAGCCCGCCGCCTCAACATCCACGCCGATATGTTTCACACCGTCTTTGACGCTTCTCCCGAATGCAAAGCTTGATCGCCTGCGTATGTCTATGTTCACGTTCGTTCCCCTCCCACTTCCAACGATGCCCTACCCCCACCCTGGCGGAACACTGATCCCCTCACCTGTTTGACACCTCATTGTGCCCCCACACATTGGTCAAACTACGTCTTTGAGGAGCATTAACTTAATTGGCAAACATGTTGTTGAAAGTGACCGCCATTATCCGACACACCTTCTATAGTGCCCGGATGGAAGGACGACAATGAAGGGAGATAATGCTCTTTTATCATCTCGACAAGCGTTGTCAAAGAAGGTCGCAGTTGCTGAAGATGTCAATGCGTCTTACTTTCAAGGGCTAATTGTGTGATAATTGAACGTACGTGCAGGTTTTAACAACAATTTCAGTCATGTTCTCACTTTTGTTCGTATTTATTAGTGGAATCACTTCATTGTTGCGAAGATCTCATTCTCCCGTTTTAATGTCTCACTGTTCAGACCAGACTAACATTTTGGCCCAGAAATCAAGTTATCTTATTTATAAATATATATCTATAAGATAAAAAATCAAAAATCCAAATGGAGCCAAGGACAATGCTAAATTTCCTAAAGCTGGGGTAATCTTGACTTGCCAAATCATTCTAGACTTGAGTTGTATTCATTTTAAATTTATTTTCAAGGGAGACAGACAGTGTTCAGCCAGCTATTGATATTTAGTCGTACTGTGTATAAATTGTCTGATTAGGATTTTCTTGTGCAATAAACAGTTACCAAAGGGTTATTTGAACACGATGATGTTTTTGACATGTATACGTATGGGACCATTAGCTGATTACAACGTTAGCTGATTGTAATAGCCATTTGGGGGAGTTGGCTGGTCATAATACGGTATAGCATGTGTCCAGCGAGTTAACATCCTGCAGTGGGTGACAGGTCCCTTGACCCTTGTGCAATATAGGAAGTGTGAGATATGTTTTTGTTTTGATTGGTGACAGATCCAGAGTCAAAGTGTCCGGTCATTTAAATTGGGCAGTGACTGATGGTCAAACGGC